TCGGCTCTGCGGCATTCCTTGGCTTGGCCGTGTTCCGCGGCTTGGTCGTGTTCCACGGCCGGGCCGTGTTCTGTGGCGGAGCCGTGGAGCTCCCGTGGAATGCGGTGCATGCCGCTATGTCTTGTTCACTTCAACAGGTTTGCCGTCCATGCTGTTATGTTATTGCATTTTATATTGTATTGTTCTTTTGTTCTAGCATGTTTTTTTTTATTTTTTTTTCTCTTATTTCAAATTTTATCTTATATGTTCTTTTTGTTTATTTTTTTATTATTTTTTCAATTTTTTATTTTTATTAATTTTGTATATTTTTTTCTAATTTATTTTATTTTATCATTATTTTTTCTTATTTACATATTTTTCTTTTTAATTTTCTTTGTTTCTGTTATTTACTCTAATATTTATTTCATTCACGGCTTTTATCCTTATTATTTGTCTATGTTTAATTTTTGCATCATTTTATTTTATTTAGTTATTTATTAATATTATTATTATTATTTTATTATTATTTGTTTTTTTTTTGTTTTTCCGTGTGTGTGTTTTCTCTTTGTTTCAGGTTTTCATTTTCAGAGTTTTTAAAACAGTTGGGTACTAATTAAACCCAGTTTAGGCAAGGGGCTTTATGGACTAGTTTCCAGTGCTCCTATAAGAATAAATAAGGAAGAAAGAAAGAAAAGAACCAGCCCTCGGTCGAACGGCCACTTGTCGAAGGACAATAAACTTTAGAAACAGAAATATGCTATCTGAAACCTAACCTCAGATGTGGTGAACATAAAATTACGTAATTTAACAATGCCCAGAAGTCATATTCGATCCGTGACCTGGTGGTACCGTGGTGGTCAAGGGCTCAAGGCTGGAAGAGGGCAAAGCCAAGTGGTGCACGACTGATTGGTGTAGGTCCGGAGAGATCCAAGGCGTTCGATTCAGGGCTTATTGGTGCACAAAATTGGTGGTGCACGACTGCGCTCCCAACGGTACTAGGGGAGTAGGGACTCCGGTTACTGCCACGGTTGTGAACGGGCGCCGGTCTAGAGTCGCAGCATCTTTGCAGTTTTGATGACGTTATTTGTGACCACTGGTGCCAAGATACCGGTAGTACCGTAGTTGAAATCGTATCTCGCACATATTTATCATTATAAAATAGGTAAGTTATGTATGTGTGGAGCAGAAGTTGAGCTTGAGCCTCAGAGCTCAAGCTCCTAATAAGTAATTACAATGATCATGAATGATGTGACTTCGGGGTGCTGGGGTGGGGGCGCGTCGATGTCTGACTCAGACATTGACGCCGGCCTTACACGCTACACCTTTGCCTGCTTCTGTGCCTTTGAAGCCTTCATGGACATTAGACAGCTGTTCCAGTGAGTAGTGACAGTAGCATTAACTGTATTCCTGAAACTCCTAACCCTCCATCTTTATTCGATGCGCCAGGCGACTTGTCGCCCAATGCCCGGAGGGCCGTTTAAGCTGTCGCTCGCTCCTTGCCCTACTCGCTCTATGTGCTAGCCAGACCGGGGGCGGGTGCGTCGTTTTTTTCAAAGTTTTGCTCAGAGCTCGGAAAAAAACCTACAGAATTTTTTTAAACTTTGCACACAGTTGGACAGATAAATTTTACAACTTTTTTTGTTGGTCTCATCTCGAAAAAAGTTTCAGAACCCCCTTAAAAAAAATCGTGAACCCAAAAAAATTCACTTTTCGACGGTTTTTCATCTCTCATCGCTAAACCATAAACATTTTTGGTGTGCAATGGGAGAATAAAATGTGCGTCTTGTTGAGACAAACACGCTGGTGAAAACGGATTTTGAAAAACTTGAAAACTCAAAAAGTTATGAGGTAAAGTTTTTTCCAGTTTTTACATTTTGCATGGTTTTTCATCTCTCGCGGCCAAACGGTGAGGAATTTTGAAATTCTGGCTACCCGTTTTTGAAGCGTCTCGACGAGATACACAAGACAACGCGGACAGATTTCCGAAAAAATCAAAACTCAAAAAGTTATAAGCATTTTTTTGAAATTTTTTTTAAACTTTTCTACTTTTTACCTCACTACTCTGCGGAAAAAAATCGTAATTTTTTTTACCAAACCTCATCATAAAATTCAAGTCTTTGCCTTCAATTTGAACTCTGTCTCGTGATTGTAGCTTTGATAGAACTCGAGGTATGATCTTTCAAAGTCGACAAAGGGAAGATTTAGTTAGGCTAGGCATTTCAAGGTTAGGTTGGGATCGTTCAAGTTATATTGTAACTATCTGCTACTGGCTGCACACACACACAGGAGAGCGCCACGGTGGGGTTTTGTGTGTGTTGTTTATGGATTGTCGTGGCTAGGGAAATAAAAAAAAGTGTGAGCAAGTAAGGATATAAAAAAAATTGTCGCCTGTTATCTGGTTAAGCTCCCGGGCCTGCCCACCAGCAGTCCAGTCTCCAGACTCCAGCACCTGGTCCAGGTGCAGAGCTCAGAGCTGCCAGAGCAGCCTACATGATTACATCTAGTATTACAGATGGAAATGCATTGCCACATGGCAATGCACATGACTTGGTAGCATATTACAGACCATACACACGCTTGACAAAATGTTGAAATTTTTGCAGCATGAACAAAAGCACACATTTTTTTTTCTCATTCAATTTGGGTTGCACACAACAAAGCAAAGCTCTGAAAGGAAACAAATAAAAATTATCAATAAACAAGATTTTTGATAAAATTTTAGCTTCCTTTGTTTGCTGCCAACTCCAAGCATGAGTTAGAAACAATCAAAAAAATTAAAAAAGGGAGCATGGATGTTGAAAGATGATGCCTACTATCATAGTACTATGCAGCTAAATCAAAATTGGCTTGTTCATCCTGTCCACCATCTTGTTGTTTTTCAATGAATTCAATCTGCATGCAGTTTTTGCTTTCACCTAACTTGGTTACCACATAGTACCATAAAATAGGGTGACTTTGACAACCCTGGGTAACTTTGACCACTTTTTGTTTTTTTAACAAAACCCCCAAAACTCAAAAACTATTTGATATAGAAAAATTTTGTCAATGGCCATTAAAGGCCTTAGGCCTAATACTGAGGCTATGCAACACAATAGAAAAATTTAAAAAGTTTGCATATCTGATAGTAGGTTAAAAAATTAAAAATGTGACCCACAAAAAAGAGCTATTATTTAAAGCCTGTTGACTTATAGTATGATATACGATACAGAAAAGTTCTCATTATGAAATCTAGAAAGTTATTCTATGAAGGATCTCATGTGACGACAGGTATTGTCTTGTGATGCGGGTAACAACAGTCGGAGTACCACCTCCAATTTTTTTTATTTTTTGTTAAAACTCCAGGTTTTGATGCATTGTAGTAGAACTCTTCTAGTTATATATGCAAATGACAAGTTTTAGGAAAGTGTCATAGTTTGCAAATGGGGGGTGCCACCCCCCCAATGGGGGAACTCTGACCACCTAATGGCAGCCGTGATGGGGTAACATTGACTGGCTTGGAAATTAAGTTAAAATTACCATAGTTACATATATAAGATGTTTTATGTTTGATACACCTCTTAATGTTTTTCTTTGTTTCAGACTCTATATAGTCTTATATATGGTAATTTTAACTTAATTTCCAAGCCGGTCAATGTTACCCCATTACGGCGGCCATTAGGTGGTCACATTTTGCCCATTGGGGGGCCACGCCCCCAATTTACAAACTATGACACTTTCCTAAAATTTGTCATTTGCATAGGTATGTAACTAGAAGAGTTCTACTACAATGCACTAAAACCTGGAGTTATTTGGACTTTTTACCAAAAAATAAAAGATTTTACCACCCAGTCGAAGAAACCCCAAGAGCTGGTGTAGCAAAGACCATTACTTTTTTTGAAATTACATCAAAACTATGAAAGGCAGGAGCCAGCAATTTATAGTAATTGAAGCTAGAGTATAGACCTATATTTTGCATGTTTTAATTTAAGTTTAACTTATCTAGTAAAAAAATGACATCATTTTGAAAAAAAGTGGTCAAAGTTACCCCATTTTACAGTAATTTATATGTGTTGACAGCCTTTAATGGAAACATTTTTTACAACAAAATGTAACCTGACTTTTTTTGGAAATTTAAAAATCCTTAATTAAACTACAATTTTACCTTGCGAATTGTAGTTCTGACCAGTGTCCACTGTGCAGAGTCAGCAGAGAGTGGATGAATGTTGCAAGATCTTTGGCAATGCTTCAGTAGCAAAATTTACGCCTTTAGAAGATCTTGCCGACACATTTAAATTGAAATTCTTGCATTTAATATATTTGTCAGTCTTTGGCCAACTATTTAGAAAAAAGTAAGGTTTCCGGTACGTTGGATGGATCAGGATGCAGTAAAGCTTGTCCGGAAATTGGTTGCGATGAGTTCCCGCCAAAAAAACGTAAATAAAATGTACTTGCAGTCACATTAGAGTGGTCAGACTGCATCATCACATGTTCAGTTGACACTTGCTGTACAATCGGACTGTTTTTAGGGTAAAATTAGTTATTTGGAGTAACACGTGCATGCAACCTTGTAAATAAGTTCGTGACTTGTGAATAGTTTTTCATTACTCGGCATAAATGGCTTTTCATTAAAAATTACTAAGCAATACATCTTGAAAATGGTTGGCAACGCTTTGGGCCTAAAAATCCATATATTGGCAACGCTGCTTCCACCTTCTGCACCCTGGAGTCCAGTGTTAGGTATTTTATATTTTTTAGATGCAGCAAGTTAAATGCAGTACAATGAGTACCTACATAATATCTATCTGCTGCTAACTGGCATCTAAAATGTCAGTGAAAGGAGAAGGTAACTTGATCAAGCCTGATTTTAAATATTTTTGAACCTTGATGAAGTTATAAACATTCCATACACACAGTTCTTGATTTAATTTTAGTAAGATCAACACCAAATATGAGAATTTGATTGTAAATTATCTAAACTTGTATTCACCTACTATTAGTTATACCTATAATATTTCATACCTACTCATTAGAAAATATTGTGTGATTTTGAAAATAATTTGCAAGTTGTAACCATCATGGCATATTGGATGTACTGTAAAATGCCTACTCCTGCCATTGCTACTAGACAATTTACAATAGAACTTATTGAAGATTATGCAGAAGCAGCTGGGTATTATAATGTTGGTGAGTAAAGAGTTATTATTACTTGAAAATTTTATTGAATTGTTTAATCATCTGATTTGTAATTAATGTTCATTATTGATTATCATATTACATTTTGATGTATAAGCCTTTTTATTATTATATTTCTCTTGTATCAATTTCTCAGCTAATATTGGTAAAAAAGTGATCACTAGTAATCTAAAATGTATTGATCATATTTAAATGTGATAGACTTCTTTTGACTGAAGAAAAGTACAAACAAAAAGAGGTTGCCAGATCAATTTTTTTGCTGTGATTGTGGTTTTTATGAGATTTTTACAGTCTATATTCAAATATTGTATGATGATTTTGAATACAGCTGGATGTTAGTTGCAGAGTTTCAAATGTTATTCACAGCCCCAGAAGATGTTAGTTCTTATTTTTATGTATTTTGAATCAGGTCAGTGGCTACAGGAGCTAAAAGACGGCCTGCACAAGACCTCACGGGAACTCAATGAAGAAAAGGTAGTAGAGCTCCTGTCCCTGGAGTGCAGCTTTATCAACACAATCGTTAAACACAAGCGAGACATGAGGTCTGAGAAGTTCTTTCCAAAATTATCACAGGTTTGTTTCTAATAAGATTTTGAATTACACTTGCTATTATATGTACCTATTTTTGGAAATCCTTAATCTATCACAAAAATATGCTAAGAAGGAACATAAAAGTGAAATACTATGAATCCTGCATTCATCTTGATAACAGCTGCTATGGTTAACTAATATGGTGAATTGTTTTCATATTGGATAAGAGTATTGTCAATTCATTTTCCTTCCTATAAGTAAAGCTTCAATTTGTTTTGTTTTTACTGCACGAATAATTTAAGAAGTTATTTCCATTGGTATGCATATAAGGCTGCAATATACAGGCATATTTCTTATTAATAATTAAAATTAAATATGTAGGTATGGTCTAGGACCTAGTTTAGCAAGAGGAAGACTGCAGTCCTGAACCTCACAACAAAATCATCCCATATCGCCTTTTAATACTGTTTAGTTTGGGTTATAACACACTCAATAATTGAATATTATGATCTTCCTCTTAACCTTAGCTTCAAAAATTTTCCCCAACTTCTCTCTAAATTTTAGTACCATAAAGCAGGGTAATAAGGGATGGTTCTGAGCATTTTTCCTTAATAACTTCTTACCATGAAACATTTCATAAACGAGTTTAGGCTCATTTTAAAGGTATTTGTAAGGGCTATTGTATGGCATCTCTGAAAAATTCTATATGCGATTCGTAAGGTGCCAGATGCAAAATAAAAGCCTACTGAACTAACCCTGGGAATGGGGTAATTAGGGACACTTGAAATAAAACTTAATTTTAAAATGTTTGAAGCATGCAAAGTGTACCACTCATCCATTACTAAAAGTACTCTGAAGTCTTCCTCTTCCTTTGTAGATGATGTAAATGTAGAATAAATGACACTTTCTGTTTTACTTGTTTTTCCTTTATTGATATGATATCACCTTGTCCATGCATTACCGTATTATTGATGTGATATTACCTAATCCACGAACATGCCATTGAGCATTAACAATGACCTTGTCCACTGCAAGCTTCATATCAGCTGTCATATAGGTAGCATTTCTTCATATAGGACATGTGTGCAGCTTTTATGTAAGTAAAATTTTTTAATATGGTGAATATTTTTTTGCTACAGACTTTGGCAGAGGTACTTTTCCTAAATCTCACTTGTATGTATGATACACAAAATGTATGATTTCTTTACTTTCTTTATGCTACATAGATAGGAAAAATGTTTAACTTTAACGCCACTATTTTTAGTTTTGCAATATTTTAATTAGTTTAGCTGCTACAACATTTCTACAAAATGTCAGAGGACTGTCCCTTATTACCCCGCCCGTCCCTTATTACCCCGTTTGACGGTATAGATTAATCCTCTGATTCAGGCTATTAAGTGATGAATGCTGTGCAGGTTGCCCGCGCCATGAAGCATTACCTCAAATCTCGTACAGCTGCTCTCGTGAGTGACGTCTCCCTCATGCTGTCTGCCTGCAAAATATCTTCTAAACTACCGTTAGTATTCATGGAGTATGAGTGTCATTTTTTATGAGGAAGTGATTTATAAATCCATATTAATTCTATTTTGGCTGCTTATGATTTACAAGGGCAAGCAAATGGACCACCCAGCTCTTGCCTGTTCCCAGCCTTGCCAACTTTCCCTAACCTGAAATCAACTTGGAAACAAAAACTGTTTAAAATCATATTAAATTGATGTTTCAGTCAAATAATTTGTTAAAATTAAAAAATGTCAAAACATCTCAAACATAGAGACAAATGCTAGATTAAGCTGAACCTTATAACATGCCCAGGAAACTACAGTTACAAGCTTTTTGACTGCATGATAATTATCCAGCACCAGCAGTTATTTCATGCTGCTATACATTAATAACAATAGGTACATTTAGTAAAACCTAGACATGATCCTACAGCTCCCTTATTGTGCCATGTTTACATGACCTCAACTTGAAGCTTACTTTCAATTCAAGAAACTTGTTCTCATTATCATCCGTTAGGACCATTAGAAATTTTACTTGGTTCATAACTTTCATGCTTGATCCTCAAACTGAATCTTTTCTTGACAGCAGTAGCATTGTAGCAAGCTAGAGAATTAAGTGCATTGTTTTTATTTATACAATACAAGACTATGTAAACTTTAGCTGTTTACCAACTGCTACGGTACATTGCTTTTGGTTCTCGAACATGTTGGGCTACCGTTTTTGAACAAAAATGTAGAAATTAAGAGGGCCAATAATTTTTTAAGCAACAGAAGAGTTTTTCTTCTTGAAATGATGCTGAATTTTCCTGTTATCTTCATTGTTTACACCGTATTCCATAAAACGACGCCACTTGCTTCCTCACCATGCTTTGGATAAGCACTAGAACTGGATTTTTTACAGAAAACCTGTAAGATGAGATTCTTCCAGACATTTTATGGACAAACTGTCAATAGACAAAGATTACTTCATCTAAATCTACATTTTTCACCATATCTGAATGAAGATCAGTTCTGTAATGTTTGTGTGTTAACACACCTTTGAGTAACTTTTAAAAAAGATAAGCTGAACCCATTGATGTGTTCTTGTTCTAGTTTTTTCCACATTTGAGCAAATGGTAGTGTTGTGCTATAACATACCATTGTGCAATAATGAGTTATGCGTTGTGCTGTAACATAACATACCAGCGTACAATAATGAGTTATGACTTGTGCTGTAACATAACATACCAGCGTACAATAATGAGTTATGACTTGTGCTGTAACATATCATACCAGCGTACAATATTGAGTTATGATTTGTGCTGTAACATATCATACCAGCGTACAATAATGAGTTATGACATGTGCTGTAACATATCATACCGGCGTACAATAAAGAGTTATGACATGTGCTGTAACATAACATACTACCAGCGTACAATAATGAGTTATGACTTGTGCTGTAACATATCATACCAGTGTACAATAATGAGTTATGACTTGTGCTGTAACATAACATACCAGCGTACAATAATGAGTTATGACATGTGCTGTAACATAACATACCATCGTACAATAATGAGTTATGTTTCAGGAAATCACTGATGCCAGTGTGCTCATGCTACTTTTTCTAATTAATTCTGAATTGGGTATGGCAGTTAAGAAATAACGTGGAGTTAGCTTTTCTAGAAGTTTGAGACTGGAATGATTGTATAAATCAGTATTTAAAAACATTTAATCTTGCTAAAAGTGTGTTTTAACTTCTATAGATGGAAAGTTTGTGCTATGTAATCATTTTAATAGATGTGATATAAATGTTAACAAAGTCATTATCGGTGTGCAGTCACGCTCGCCTGCCATCTCCTGCTCTGCTGCGACAACTGCTGCTGCTCTTGGCCAGAAGCCACGCTGCCCTCACACACGCGTCTGTAAGTCTCACAATTCAAAGTGATAATAGTTCCCTGCAAAGTAGTTTCATGTTCAAAATTTCGTTTGATTCTTTGAAGAGGAAAGATTTTTTTCTTCAATGAAGCCTGAACAGATTTTCATACACATTTATAGTACGGTATATTGATTGCTTTGGAAGCATGATAAATTGTGCACTTTGCCATGTCTGACAATTTTATTGGTCCTGACATATTAATTCATTCTGTCTCGTTCCTTGATTGACGCTTGGTTCTGACATCGGCATGCGTTGGTCTTATAACGTCCTCCACAGACAAAATAAATTTTCCACAGCTGTGGCTGCTCAGGCGCAGGTCTTCAAGTGAGCCCTTAGAGCAATGCTGTGAAGCAGCGTTCCTGTGACGTGTGTTGCAGGAGCAATGCTGTGAAGCAGCGTTCCTGTGACGTGTGTTGCAGGAGCAGTGCTGTGAAGTAGCGTTCCTGTGACGTGTGTTGCAGGAGCAATGCTGTGAAGCAGCGTTCCTGTTGAAGCTTCATTATAAAACTGCCAGGGCGCAGCGACTATCACCGCCACTAATGACGTTGTGTGTTGCAGGAGCAATGCTGTGAAGCAGCTGTGTGGCTGCAGTGCAAACTCAGCATCAACCAGCGTCAGGGGTTGGCTTTAGCACTCTTCAGCGTTGTCAGTAGAATACGGTACTTTATATAGTAATGGTATACGGTACTTTATATACTAATAACATTAATTATACTTAAATGCCCTTACTCCATTCTCTCACTTCACAATGTTGCCGAAACTTGTAATGAAATTTTTAGGCATGCGTACTGTGAGAGATTTTTAGATGTGTTATTGAACTGGGTTGTAATGAAGCGTTGTGTGTGCAGGGCTCTTTGCCTTTACCTGCTGCCCTGCCTGGAGGGAGGCTACGCCCACCTCAGCTGCCTGCTCTGCGGGATTCCTCTCTCTGATGCTGCTGCTGCCCCAACTTCAGCAGCTGATGTTGCTGAGGCGTCTGCCGGAACAATTTTACAAGGCTTGCCAGCAACTTTATCCAGTGACATGTGAGCAATATCAAGCAATTTTCCTCTTTATGGTGGCCATGGTTAACATTCACTTATTCTCATGCATGCACGTGGGTTTTTTATACTTGAATAATGAGCTAAGAGTATGCATGGCGGAAGCCTGTGTCTCCACTGCAAATTTTGATAGTACTGTAGTAAGGCGGCACTCCAGGGTTACTGAAATAAATTAAATGTATTAAAATCACTTGTTTGCTTAAATAGCAAGTTAACTAGGAATTTAAAAGCAAAAACAATACCACAAAAATTCACCATATCTTTATAAGAGAAAACGTTTCGGAGTCCAGCTCCATCGTCAGTTCACAAAATTCAGTTCAGAAGAAGTTCAGATCTAGAAACACAAATACAATCAATTAGTAGAGTAAAAGGCACTGTTGGGTTTTAAAACGGAGAATAAATAAATAAGACATGAAATTAACGCTAGTAAACGGCCTATCTATTTACTATTTCAAGAGGAACAGAGCTAAAAGCGGCATTTAGACTAGGCTTCTGTTTGAATATATATTCCGGTGTTACTGATCTACGCATTTTAGAATCTCTATATATATTCAAGCAGAAGCCTAGTCTAAATGCTGCTTTTAGCTCTGTTCCTCTTGAAATAGTAAATAGATAGGCCGTTTACTAGCGTTAATTTCATGTCTTATTTATTTATTCTCCGTTTTATAACCCAACAGTGCCTTTTACTCTACTAATTGATTGTATTTGTGTTTCTAGATCTGAACTTCTTCTGAACTGAATTTTGTGAACTGACGATGGAGCTGGACTCCGAAACGTTTTCTCTTACAAAGATATGGTGAATTTTTGTGGCATTGTTTTTGCTTTTAAATTCCAAATTAAATGTATTAATATTTTTGCGACAGTATATTTCTATATTATTGAACATTCATTTTGTGCTTCTACTCTGCTTTATGTTATATATTATATTAACTGTTATTATATAGTAACTGTTATTAGTAGGGAAAGTTTTCTGGTTTTGAATTCACCGAATAAAATCGGTCGTAGAATTTTCATAGTGACTATTCGCTGTGGCGTGTTCAAAAGACGTGAAAAATTTATAAACCACCTCTTTTTGACGAGACGGGAGGACTGCTCTTAAAATTACATCAAATGGTGCCTTAGGCGCAGCTGCAGCGAGAAGAACGCTCGTGTCTTATTAGTTGTCGTCACTAACTCCTCGTATTGCAACGCTTACGTTCATTTTCAGTGCGTCGCCATCCAGCAACTCCGGTCATGTCGCTGCGCCAGACAGCCCCGAACTGGCCACGTGTAGAGAGGTTACCTCGCGAGCGGCGCCTCTCCGGGCCACTATCACCCCTTGTGAAGACCTACTTGACTTGGGGGAGGTTATTTGTAGGTAATGACTTATGTTGCCTGCTTGTTTCCATCTTAAAGTGTTTTAGTCATTCAGTACTCGGATTATTTTGCAATTGACATAGAAAAGTCTTCAAGTATAGCCCTTGTAAATTCTGATTCTCGGTCGGTTCAATTTCTATATATTCCACTATTACAACGTGAATATCTTCGTGAAGCTGATATTGATTGATCACCCACGCTCATACCTACATCAGGTACTGGAAACTACCACAGAAGCCTTACTGATGCTTCACACTGAAGCCGTTCGCCGCTCAGTTAATTTTAATTTAATTCAGTTTCTAATTAATGATCTTCAATTGGACCCTAACTTTATTTCGGCCTTTCTTCTGTAATTTTTTTCACCTTACGTTGATAATGGCGCTACAGTTCGTGTATCGTTCCCTTTTATCCTGTTCAGATCTCCTGGGGGACAGAAGCGTCGCGGTGACACGCGTCTCGCTTCACCGAAGAAGAAGAAAATGAAACTCTGTAAAACCGAACAGCCTCTCGGGCAGGAGTCGCTCAAGTTAGTTGGGACTTCTCAAAAAAGGTCAAAGATTCTGAGTGAGTCAAACTCCACTATAAATCTGGCTGCTACGTCGCAGCCAGTTTTAAAAAAGAAGAAGAAAAGTTCAAAGCTTCTGGACGAGTCAAGCTCCACTATATATTCCGCTGCGGCGCCGCAGTCACTTTTGAAAAAGGAGAAGAAAAATGTGAAGCTACTGCATAAGTCTTTGTCCAGCAGCGTTTTAGCTGCGACTGCAGCCTCGTCAGTGGGAGGGTTTAGCAAGGATAAGGAGGTCGAGTCAGTTCCTATTGCCTCTAGCTACTCCAGCGCCACCACCGGCGGTCTCGAGGGCGAGTCGCGATCAACAAAAAAGCTCCTCAAGTCTCAGTCGATGTTGCAGAAAAGCCGCTCGTTTATTCAGAAGAGCTGCGCTCAGCTGCAGCTTCCTGTGTCTGGCAGTCACCAAGAATTTGTCTCGAAACTTTTGCCTATGAAGAAAAAGAAAAAATTATCTGTTGTTCAGAAGTAAATTATCAGAATGAATGTGAATATATTTCTTTACCTTCGTGTGATGCAATAAAATAATCGTTGTAAATTATTCGGCCTGCCATGGTTATTGCTGAACAAAAAGTTGCCAGTGTTAATTAAAGCTTGTGAGCTTTTGAGGTAAAATATAGCTCACCGTATAAAATATATTTTTTCATTAAACGAAGGTATCTGCTTCTTTTCTCCATCAGTTAGGGAAATTCTTCTTATGACGACCGTGAACACGTTAGTGACAACATAGTAAATTACGCCATTTAATAGTTCTTCAAATGAATCCCTGGTAAAATTCTCCACTCTGTATATAAATAATCTTTCTGATGGTCGGTAAGTAAAGTGTTGCTTCCGCTCTCCACGATTGGCTGTCAAGTTGAAGCAAAGTTGTATTTACGATACTCAATCTGTTTTTTGTGTTCTGACTCAAAACTGCTTATTTACAAAACCAAGACGTAATCTATACCAGCCTTCAATCCTGCCCAGTGCTCGGGTACGAATGATGACGTCACATGCTTGAAGTTGTTTACATGCAGTTATGATGTGGCGGTGACTCTGAGTAGTGCGCGCGGGAATTACGTTCCTCATCATCATTACGACAACTGAACATCTGTCGTCACGAGTGAGGTGCTTGCAGGCGCTCAAATGATGCACATTTTGCTGGACTGCGGCCGTAATTTATTGTAAACATGCTTTTCCGAAATTTAGTCGCTATGTCTACTTATCGTTTAGAAGTATTTTCCAAACTGTAAAAGAAATCAGTTCCGAGTGTTTTTGGTTGAACTTCTTCTCTACTGCAATGCTAAAGCAGAGAGACATGGCAGTTTTCGGTCATAGAATAGAATAGAAGTGTCGGCGTTGAAGAAATAGGCCCATGGCCTGTTGCCGATTCTTGAACTTTTCGTGACTTGATTCACAAGGGATCCGGCCTTTGGAACCCGATCTTTCCATAACTGACGATTGATTGAGATAGCTGCTGGACTTATATATTATAAATTTTTGTGTCGTCAGCATACATCGAGCAAACGCTAGACACAGCTTCTGGCAGATCGTTTATAAACGCAACGAATAGAATAGGCCCGAGAACGCTTCCTCGTGGCACGCCGCTGCGCACTGAAGCCCAGTCTGATACGGACCCATTAATACTGACACGTTGTCGCCTCGGTCATGTTCGGAATTTTGCAAAAATTTCTGTTCGTCTATTACTTAAAGTTGCTTATACAGGCATTAATCTTCCATTAATTAGTCTAATGGCACTCACTCTTTGTTATTACAACGCGACTGAGAAACCTAATATTAAGTCTGGCTAAGCTGCACAAGCCAGGAACAAAGATGCTCTTTGACGGCAGCTTCACTCAGCACAGAGTGCTCCGCCCTAGCAACAGTCCTCCGTCGCTGGGCCTCGTGAGGCAATTAGAAAGGGCTTTATTGCCAGACCGATTCTAGTGCTAAAGCAACACTGGTGAGGGAGGGACTCGAAGTGTCTGAAGAAACTGTGAAAGTGGCTCCCTAACTAGTCCACCCCGTTACAAATTTACCGTGCCACAACAAGCATTAGGTTCCTATCATCATTGAAGTCGACAATGATATACAAAGCCAAATAAATGTTACTTTTTTATGTCACCCATCTATCTACACCACCCGAAAATTGGATGAATTAACCCTAGCGGGATTTTTCTCGAGCACGAAAACTCTGTTCAAGAGTGTGGAATAACCTGTGGATGACTGGAGCCATTAGGCTGCTGCAAGCCTATGAGTGTTGAAGTATCATTTTGAGCCGCTGTGTGCGTTCAATAAATAAATTTGTTATTAAGTTTGTATAAAGCCATGAACTTGGATACATGACTTGTGATTCATTCAATAGCCATCAACTCAAAGCACTTTAAGCAGCGAATCACCAATAAGGGAATATTATACTATACCTTAGTGTTCGTGAACAAACTTAAAAATTTGGTTCACTAGGAAACTTGCTGAGTTGCAGACAGGGCTATAAACTCTTGGAACTATTCTTTCTATTACATGTAAAGAACACTACAGATACAAGCGCGTTCATGTGGTTTCTTTTCACAACTTCCACAGTGGATAATTTAACAGAAACAGTTTAAAATTGCTAGGAATCTTGCACCAAAAAATTGGGTAATATGATTTATAAATTCGATTATTTTAATTTAATATTGAGCAAAAAAACAAACCAACGAAAATTTTCGTCGGTGGATGGCGAAGACCGGCAGTTAGAAGACATTGTCGCACTTGCCACTAAACTTGTAATTCAAATATCATACTATAGCATAAACTATAAGGTAACATGGGGCAGCGAGCCCACTGCGGGTCATGGGCCCATAGCGGGTTTCTCGCTAAGTATGGCAGATATTGGTCCGTGTTCTCTACCGCCGGTCGACAGTTTCACTGGGATGAAGTGTACGGATTTACGTTTTGCCAAGTGTTTGCGTTATTAAGTTATTTGTGAATAACTATTTTAGCCCTGATAAAAATTTTATTGCTGCTAAATAAAACTGTTTTCGATTACTGTAGATGAAGCTTTTGAAATTAGTGTGAATTATATTTTGAAAGTAATATTTATCGGGATAATTTTGAGATTAAGTTTACACTATTAGCTTTTGAAATAAAATGTTGACACGATATAAATTGAAATGATACCTAGTGGGGCAACGGGCCCACGCGTGTCACGGGGCAGAGCGACCATGGTGAAGTTTTGTGTTATACATCATTAGAATTGTCTCAATGACCTTTTCAAAACTATGACTAGCTTTTTGTATTACTAATTACACTTCATATTGCATGATTTTTTTATTTGCCGCCTCAAGGCAGCAGGTTTAGTTTATAGTTATGCGTATTTATGACCCCTTATCGAGTTATTGACTCTTGCCTTGCCAAAAGTTGATTTCAGCCAACAACAATGAGCCAAAAGTTGATGAGTTTTTATGGTGTTGGCTGAAATCACGATTAGTTACGAATTCTCTGCACATAATATCTGGATTATGGACGCCTCTGGAACGAAGTTTTTTTATCAACTTAATATATATTTTTTCTAGGCAAGGATGCATTTTTCATGTCAAGGACGAATTTTTTATCGCACGGATATATTTTTCAAGTCAACGATATATATTTTTATGTCAATGAAATATTTTTCTTCACGTCGGGATAGATTTTTTAAGCCAAGAGTATATTTTTTTCAAGTTAAGGATATGATTTTTTGAGTTGTTATTAAATGAAAGAATGTCATATTTTTTTATTACATTTTCCTTATTTTTAACTGTAAAGTGTTGTTTTATCATTTTTAAATTAAAAATATGCAATTGTGGTATAGAGACCAAGGGTGGGCGCCTTGCCCCAAGCCCTTGCCCCAAGCCTTGACACTTTTTTACAAAATGGTGTTTCATTAAAAATTTAATAACCCTATAGGCGTCTAATTCCAATCATACATTCCTCATTAGTTGAACCTCTAAACAAAACAAAGAACCACCTCGCATTAATTAAAAGTTCATCAAAAATTTAGTTTAAAGAAAGGGGGGGGGGGGCGCTGCCCCATGTTGCCCTACTATACTGTCATACATATTAATGTGAGACAATACCTAATTACTACTTCATTATTTTTTCACTTCAAGGGACTGTAAGTTTCACGTTTTACTAACAAACTAACTTGAAACTTTAAATTAACCTCAACAGCTTACAAAATAAACTTTGCATTTAGTGCATAATGAAGAGTTGGGGTTCAGGTGAATACTGGGGGGTCGGGGCAGAGTTTGACCCCGACTGGATGCTGACGCCCCAGCAGCGAGAGCTCAGAGATAAACTCGTGGAGCTCTGCAGGAGCAGCATCAGGCCTAAGGCGGTGAGTCGTGCCGTCTTTAATAGGAATTTAATACGTACAGCCTAGAGCCCTAGAATAACATTCTATCGGTGCTGTATTTCCTCAATTTCATTAAAAAAATAAGTAAATTTTTACAAATGTTGTAACTTAGCTGCTTCGGTCATGGTAGAGATGGCACGTTAAGTCGCATGTAGGGCAAACTGAGAGAAATCTATTACTTCTTCGGAGGTTAAGATTCTTTAAAAAGCAACAATTTTGTCTATTACATCGCCTTTACTGATAAGATGGATCCAGATGCTCGAGAACTGAATCGAGTCAAAGTGATTCCTTTCGACAGTTGAATATGTGACTAATGTATTTTAATTGTGACCCTATTCAAGTAGTGATATGAGCAACAGCCTTGCTCTGGCATGTTTATTGTTTCGACCAAGGCTTAAATCGTTATTTACCTATGAGAACTAATTTGCCTAGAGACTCATATCCCATTCAGAAACGCACGAATTGTTTACAAATCTTACGAGATTTTTAATTCGAGTATTGTCGAGCAATATTATTACTCTTAATTCCCTTTGAGGTTTGAAATCTCAGAGGAATATTAGTTTAAAAAGTATCGAATAAGATAATGCCATCATGGTATTGAATTCACAATACGTTGTGCTTGCTGAATGTTTTAATTATATTAACGCCGCTTTGCAGGCGGCGGCGGACCGGCACTACGTGTACCCCAGGGAGAGCCTGCAGGCGCTGGCCTCCCTCGACCTCCTGGCGCTGCTGGTGCCTGAGTCGCTGGGGGGACTCGGGGCCAGCTTCGTCACCTGCGCCATGGTCGTCGAGACCATTGCGCGCTATGGCTGCCCCAGCACTGCTTTGGTTTACTGTTCAGTGTCGCTGCAATAAATCACTAGGAATATTCATACAAGAAATAAACTAGAAATATTTCTAATCCGCAATTTTAGCCGGATACTGCGGTGCCAGCACCGAACTGGTTTACTGTTAAGGCCAGAAACAATAAATCTCCAGGTATATTCTTGGCACGTCGACTCCGAAGTGGTACATATGTGTACCACGAATCGTATTTCTCCAAGACGTAGTGGTACAAAATTCAGGGTTTCCAGATGGCCTAAAAAACGGCCAAGTACGCGAACAAAAATAGCCAAAAAAGGCTTGTAACTCAATATATACTAGTATATTTGTAGGTTCCGGTGTAAAAATTCCATTTTTTAACTAGGAAGTACCCCTATCAAACATAATTAAGATGTATCCCTATCATTCATTTTAGACGGCCAACCCTAGACGGCCTGTTTCAAAATAGTACAAAAAAAAATAAAATAATATTACAAGATGAAGCAATTGGACAGAGCGTGTTAATGCGCAACTGTAAGCTTGATGCTGCTGCCCCGGCATTTATTGTGTGGTGAGAGGCTATCGTTCGAAAATGTTTGAGCGTCGATTCATATATGAGTATGATGTAGACGAAGCTCGGTGTGGGTGCATGGACGCTGCTGTTGTTTGTTGTTGGATTTATCATTGTATCATCAATATTGTACCTTGTACAAATTTTATGAGTCATGCCACAGCTCGAATGAACTGCTTTGGAACAATAAGACCTTAATGTCTAGTTACCGTATACTGTTCTCTAAACTGCTTTTCTGTAACATAATCCAGCTTTTGCTCTATATTGTGGCCCCATTCCAGTTGCAGTTAATAGTTCCAAAGCTAGAATGATGCATTATTAATATCGTTTGTATATTTGAGTATAGAGTCGGAATAGGATGACTAGATTCATGTTGATGTATCGCTCAATTTTTTGCTTGATTTGGCCCAGGCATGCACCTGCTGGCCACGAGTATGCTGCTGTACCGCCACTCCGATAACCCCACCATCACTGCCCTGCTTAAGGACATCAACCAAAAGAAACTCATAGGCACCTCAGTCCACTCCGACCCGACGACCGGTGAGTCTATTCTGGCCCGGCAACCGCTTGATATACTTTCACCCGGCAACCGGTGAGTCCAGTCTCACCCGGCTACTGTTATGGGAAGGATCGATTTAACCAAGTTCAAAGTAGCAAGATCAAGGTTGAATTTGTCTTCCGATTTTCACGCTGTCTTCGTTGGCGCTATCTCCGAACCATTTAAAATCTTCCTGTCTCCTTTCATGGAGTGAATTGATGCATGATATTAACCAGTCATGCCACCAGGAATTAGTTTAGTTCTGTATCTAGTCGTTACTAGCATTTAATATCAATAAGCACACCTGTCACAAATAGTTTCTCATCTTTTGTGTTTCCATCATTTTGACGTGCTTAATGTTAGGAATTTCTCTACTCATAGGCACTATTTTAGTCCGCAATTTCTCCTCATCTCTCAGGTGGTCATTTCTGGTATCCTCTGTCCTCCAAGTCGGCGTTCGTGTCGGATAACCTCGTACGCTACCTCAAGTACGGCTCGTGGTCAACCTCTGCAGGCTACGCAGACTTCTACGCTGTCGTCACCGCGTCGCCTGACAGCAAACCTGACCCGTCCAACATGACCACTTTTCTGTGCTTCCGTGTGGGTAGAAGGGATATTAAGTTTTCTTCTGTTTCAGTTTCTTGATATTTTACAGTGCGTATGGAGTCATACATTTTACATTACTAAAAAAGTAAGCGGAATTTCATCAAGTCCAACGCGTACGTAGTATTGGTCAAAACCATGTCAGCTGAGAAGTTTAGGTAATAACGAACAGAAGTTCTATATTCAATGCAGGCGACAAGGTAGCTAACCGTCCTACAAAATAAACTTTGGAACAGTGACTCGAGTTAATATGTCGATGTTCAAGTATTACATGCAGAACAGTAAAATATTAAATAATAACACATTGATAATAAAAATATGGTTGTGTGTTCGTTGGTTTGAGCAATTCTGTTTTTTCGCCGATTCTTTTTATCGCAGAATTTTCAAAGTTAACTGGGGTACGAACCTGAATTATTTTCTCCTGATCTTGCTTTTTATCAACCACAGGCCAACTTTTTGGTTTCAAACAGAATTTTCTCAGTCTAATGAGGCTCAACATACCAACTCATAACTTCCACCGCTCGGACAGTATTATTCCACTCGCGTTTAGTTATAATAACAACTCTCGTCCAGGACGAGGTCCGAGCTTACGCCGAAGACTGGCAAGCCATGGGCATGCACGGCAACATGTCGGGTGAGGTCGTCATCGACTGCGAGCTTCCGACGAGTCGCATTGTCGGGAAACCGGGGGATGGAGCATCGGTAAGAATAACGTTTAATCTCTTTTGCTATGTTTCGGTCTGCAAGACATTTGATAATTGGTTAAATGCATGACGCACTACACTGCTACGAAAACAAGCACCTCCAGGATTTGCTTTAAAATGCGACTATAAGTGCGTGAAAAATAGTGATAACTTCATAATGTACAATTATTGTGAGTTGGTTTCTGAGTTTTGACTAACACAAGAGCCACATCGTCCGCTTCAATATGTGCAACATCATCTAGCGAGAAAAAACAGAGATGATGCGAGTGTTAAACTATTGATCACAATGCATGAATTTTAGCAAATAAAGCCAATCAGTTCATCATCATTTGAGATTAACATAAACCACTGTATGTGTATTCCAACTGATAGAAAAATACTCTTATTAGTGCTGCAATAATAAATTATTAGTGTTCGTTAGTGTTTAGTGTTATAGGATGTATTAGTATAATTCAGATAAAAACACTAAATTAGCGCATTTAATTTCGTTCAGAACAATTCCGAAGCCGCAACCTCGGCATTTTGTGTGTTCACGTCGGCCTGTTGGAATGGCATCGCAATGGCATGCCTGGACGTGGCGAAGAAACACGTCACCAGAAACGCGCATGGCGATGTTGGCATGAGGGTCTGTGACTACCCAGCTGTGCAGGTGCGTGATGTGGCATGACTACCCAGCTGTGCAGGTGCGTGATGTGGCATGACTACCCAGCTGTGCAGGTGCGGGACGTGGCATGACTACCCAGCTGTGCAGGTGCGTGACGTGGCATGACTACCCAGCTGTGCAGGTGCGTGACGTGGCATGACTACCCAGCTGTGCAGGTGCGTGACGTGNTGTATAAGAGACAGCTACCCAGCTGTGCAGGTGCGTGACGTGGCATGACTACCCAGCTGTGCAGGTGCGGGACGTGGCATGACTCTTCAGCTGTGCAGGTGCGTGACGTGGCATGCTTGTCACTAAAGTTCAGTGAAGGTCTCTATAATGACGTTCATATTCACTCCATTGTACATGTGTGAAAACCTGACTTATGGATATTAAGTCATGGTAACTCAAGGATGGAACTAACCCCTTGTTAAAATTGCACAGTTCAACCCGAAAATTTTGTGATTTAGTAGCAATGGTGGTTATCGGTCAACAAAACTTTTTAATAAATTTTATCTCAGGTATCCCCTTGAAAATATGAAGCCTTTAAGTGATTAATGCATTTTGGATCAATATTATTCAATATTATATACGGATCAATATTATTCATATTATATACGGACCAGGCAATAAGTCCAGCAGCTATCTCAATCAATCGTCAGTTAAGGAAAGATCGGGTTCCAAAGGCCGGATCCCTTGTGAATCAAGTCACAAAAAATTCAAGAATCGGCAACAGGCCATGGGCCTATTTCTTCAGTGCCGACATTCCTATTCTATTTTATTCTATATTATTTTAGGATCATTATTATGACCTGAAATATCATTATTCTTTTAGGATCATTTCGGATCAAGTTTAACCGCGACGACAGCTGCCAGGCTGACACTCTTCAGCCTCTGCCAGCAACTTGACCGAGTCTCCAACAACAACGACTGGTCCCTTGAAACTACGTTGAAACTGCCCAGGTTTGTCTTCCGTGCACATTTACGCTGCAGAACAACAGAACAGAATTCTTGTGAAATGTAGTGAGAATAGGAATTTTCTTGGTATGCTCTTCGGAAGAACCTGTTAGACATGTTCTTGATGAACTTTGATACAAATTGACAATCAGCGATGTTTTTTGATAGAAAATATATTTACTCAAATCTGTAATCCATAGCTCCAAAGTTCGCATTTATGGAGAGGAGCAGTCACAGAAGTTCTACCGAGTTAATGCGGGTAAAATTCTCCGAACGGCAAGGCCGAGGAAAGAAATCTAGGAACCGTTCTGACTGTAGTTCATATCGTTGATGAAATTCCAAGGTAATCGTTGATTCCCGCTTCCCCTAGATCCCCGTACACATTCTGGCTGTTTCAAGTCAAGGCCACGGCATCTGAGAACGCCAGCCGCGTGGCCGGCCAAATGCTCAAAGCTTGCGGTGGAAATGGATACAAGGTGAGCGACGTAAATGGACCTATCGTAACAAGGTTTCATATAAACGGTCTTCGTCGAATAACTCCTTTTTTCACTTCTATTCCTAAGCATTTAATTTGAAGTAATTTTTCATCATGTTGGGTTCGAATTTTCCTCTTTAACGTTCGAATTTTCATTTCCACTGATATTTTAAAACTTAAATAAAAATAATATTATTAATAATGATATTAAAACCTAGAAAATTTTAAATAAAATAAATCGTTGATTAAAAATCATACAAACGAGACATTCATCCCACAAAATATGTCAGTATTTCACTGTTACCGCTGTGTTCCGACGAGTAGTGTGAGAGTTCTGTGCATTGCAGAGCGAGCTGGGGCTGGAACGCCTGTTTCGTGACGCCAAAGCTGGCTGCGTGATGGCCCCCACCACCGAAGTGGTGAACTCTATCGTGGGACAGGTGGTGCTGCTGGGGGCAGACGTGCTCGACTTGTGGTGAGTGATGAAAGGTGATGAATTCCTTCCTGGTAGAGATGGTGCTGCATGGGTCAGTCGTGCTCAAATCGTAGTGAGTGATGAATGGTATAATAAATCCTTCAACCTGGGTCGGTTGCGCAATTGAAAAATGACCCAAACCGGCGAATTTTACAGGAAAAGGCCCATCTGGCGAACCTAGCCAGGACAATCTATAATAAACAAGCGCTTGCAAGACTCGCTCAAGAGCAAGAATAAGGCATCTGCATGCATTTAACACGCAGATTGCGCCCACTAAATACAAATTTTTAGGTTATTCCATAAAAATGGGAAATATATTTCTTTGTGAAGGTATGTAGATCAAGATGCACTAGTTTTAGTTTCAATGGCGAGCTATTTTTATTGCTGAATCTAACTTAACTTTTTCGCCAGGAACCAAAAGCCGAACCAGCGCGTTTTGCACCAGGAACTTTCGAAACTCTCCCTCAGCGACAAAGAAGAATTACTTAAGACTTTGACGGAGGACATTGCTGGCGAGAAGAGCCCTCCAGCCACGGAGCCTTACGAGGATTTCGACAACCCGTTCAGCACGGCGCCTGCGCGATACCTGGGGAAGGTTTGTGGTGGGGGGCTGTGAATCGGGAGCTGAACGAATTGAAATTTGTTGAAAGAACGCATTAGCCATTTAACCTTCCTCAAAAGTTTAGCGTTGTTCTAGCTCGAATTCAGAGGATGGCAATATATTTGAACCCAATAGAGGTGAGTTTCCCTAACTTCTTTAGATTTCGAACCACTTGAAGTACCGTGTTTTCATGGCATGCCCTAGGTACCAGCCGCGTACCATAAATACTACATATTAGTCGCTAATATATTGCAATATAGGCCGCTGGGAACGGAATAAATTAATTTAATGAACATTATTTTCCAAAGCGATAAATACATACTAATCATGATTTACAAGTGAATATGTACAAATACGTTCAATATTTTGAATTGTAGCAATCGCTTTCTGCCTGTTTTGAAGACTCAACAGATATGGGATTACGAGCGTCAATGCATGGATGTGCACGGAACTAAATATTTCTCAAATGATCTTTCCGTTTATTTAATGTTGAGAAATTGCTCGAAGACAGATTTGCATGTTACTATTTTTTTCAAATATTCGAGTTCTTCGTGTTCCGGCATCCTTTTTTTAATTCATTAGTCCGTTCGTCTAACGAACATACAGACGTTATTCAGGAACTAATATTAGAATTATTTGCATATGGTCTACTCCTCCATCATGGTTACATGAATGCATTAAACACCCTATTTGCATCAGACATTATGAATTGAACACATTAGCGTATATACTATGAATACATTAAACGGCCGAAAAAGAAGTGATGGAAATGAATGTTATAGGAGTTTGAGGACGGAGGGAAGTTTCGTTCTGCTTTGGAGCCTAAAACATGGACGTCGCTGAAACTTCTGAGCAGAACTGACCTGACGCCGAGTGTGACGTCATTCAGGTTCTCCCTTCCTTCTGGCACTAACCACAGCGGCCTCATGCCAGGCCAATACGTCAAGGTAAGTAACGTCTCAGTTATAGCAAACATCTCCGTTCGATGTTGACTTTGATTTGTGGATCTTCGCTCATGCAAGATTTTACAAAAATCCCCTCCAACTCAAACTTCTGAACCTCATAAGGGAATTAATGCGCATATCACACTTGAACTTCTTTTCCTCACCTAATTTTAATAAACAAAAATTTGTATAAAATCAGAACTGAATTTTTAATTTATGATTCTTAAAAATAGAATTGAAAGTTTTGCATTGAAAATATACCATACAACGGTAACCCCCTACCGTAGGTCAGGGTGGAGACTCCGGACCACGGCGCCCACGAGCGGTTCTTCTCACCCGCGTCGCCGCCGTCCGACGCGTCCGGCATTGAGATCGTCGTGCGCTACGAGTCCCACGGCGTCGTGTCCGACCGCTTCAGGAACATGCGCGTCGGTGAGTGCTGGGTCCAGGTTTGCTTTAGCATTATGCAAACATTATTTTGCATTGAATAAGCAACGGTTGAAAAGAATTCAAGCTGCCCGCTAATAATCGTCGATAAATGGTCAAGCAACAGCGCTGTGCATATTAATTCATTCAAAGTCGAAAAATACCTCTTTTCTTTGAACATAAGCAAATCTATTTCTCCTAAATGAATATGAAGGCGATGTATTATTCAGATGACCAGCTGCCTACATCATCTCCATGAGACGACAAACCTGTTACTCCCTCAGGTTCGAGCATCGCCTGCAGGGGACCATGTGGGGGCTTCGAGTACACCCCCAACAGCCTGGCCGAAGTGACACTCCTGGCTTCAGGTGGCGGCATCACCCCGGGCCTGCAGCTCATCAGGACTGTGTTGTCCTGCGACGCCGACACAACCAAACTCGCGCTCGTCTACTACGCCGCGACTCGGGACGAAATTTTGTACAGGAGCGAACTGGAAAGCTACGCCTGTGAGAAAATTGTTTATTAATTGAGCTTCAACTGCCGTACCAATCAATCAGTTCTGGTACAAATTATCTTATAAATACTAAGTCAAACTGACCCCTGAGGCAACATTGAGAAATTATTCATCATACTAAATAATTGTTGTGGAGAAGAAAGTCTTAGCTGTTGTATATAAGAAGGGCACTGTTATCCATTACGGCGTTAAACGAAATTCTCCCAATTGATATTAAATGAGCTGACTGCATTCCAAATTACAATACTTTTATTGATAATAAAACAGCATATATGCTAAATGAAATTTTTTGGTTTGGGAAAAGACACATACAAAGCCAGAAATCACATCTTGTATACGATTCTAAGCGAATATTTTGCGTAAGAAAACGACTTCATCTAACTTTCGGTCTTGTGTTTGTTTGATAATTTCTAAAGTTAATTCAAATGATTTCAAAACATGATATTCATAGCACTAGGGCACAATTTTGAATATTAGTATATGTATATTTGAATATTAGTATAGCAGTATAGTATTAGTATATTGTTATATTTTGACTATTAGCATATTACCTTAGCGTAAATATTGAATATCCTCCTAAAGTTCGAAACTGAAGAACTTCGAATCGAATTGACGACGTTGGGTCTAGTTTAGTATATTTCTTCTTTTCTAGAAAAGTAATTTTCTCACATGTTTGTGAAAAAATTCCAATTAATAGAAAATGGTGTATTTGAAATCATATTACATAATGAAGATTTTCTTCATTGTCGTCAAGGTGAAAAATTATTTCCAAGATGTTTTAAGAATCTGTAAGAAGGACGGCGAAGAGTAATGACTTCTTTTCCAATTAATTTATTTTATTTTTTCTTTATGTGAACGGCCCAGTCGGCATTTGACTGCGCAAGCATAAAAATACCTACATCTCTTTTCTGACTTTGTTTTGATTCTTATTTTAGTCTCATATGTTTGACAGATTGATAAATTGAACCCGGCCAAATCTATAGTGTCTTGGGTGCTATCGGGCTGAACTTGTCACTAAATTTTGAACTCATTATCAGGAATAATTATTGTGAAAGTAATAAAAATGCTCGAATATTCCAGCGACTAAAAAAAACTTCCGCTTGGTCCTCTCTCTTGGCGAGGCGTCCGAGGGCTGGACGGGAGAAGAAGGCTTCATCGACCAACGCAAGCTGGACAGGCACGTCCCCAAAAACACGTCCCGAACTCATAAGGTGCCCCCAAGTCCCTGAATTTTGATGAGAAATACATTTAAACAAGTAAATAAATTTAAGACAACATTGTGAATACAACGACGTGACCCTGTTATTGCTGCTGGCAGTGACTGGTACGAGTAGCTTGACCCTAGGATGCAAGTTATTGAAGAAAGAATATATATTAATTTCAATTACAATCGTCAGTAAGCGCCTCAAGTGTCAGGAGACGGTATTATGCGCCATTTGACTAGTAACATAAGTTCTGCCTGAGGACAGGGATTCGTTGACTAAGTTCGTGAGGGATAAGTGAGACATCATCTGTCTAGCGAACTTATCTCGCACTGGGTGGTTATACATATGAGAGTTATTATAGATAATGAAAAAGTAGATAGCTGCGATCGTCTGGTCGGAGTAGCTCTAACAAGTGTTGCATCGCGGCGATCTTGCTACGTAGCTACTGGGATGACTTATTAAGGTGCCCTATTGTTTATAGACTTCTACTTCTGCCGACAATGTGGTCTTGTTCATCTGATATTGTCTAGACGCTGACTCTGTGTCTAGTACTCTTCCAACAATCTCCTACGCGTCCAGTGAATATTACGTCTCAATTACAAATGATCTAATCATATAATATAAACATAATGAATAGAATGAGACGCCTGATTGACACAGGACATAAGAGAATTATTTTAAACAGTCCTTTTTACCATTCGATGCTCCATACTTCTCTCTCTTGGCCATCGTCCCTCTTCTAAGGAACTAATTCTTTCTCCTACGTTATTCTGAGCACCTCTGTATTAATAAACACCTAAAGCAAAGCATTAAGTAATATATATTTTATATACCGCTGCACGATGTTATCAAAACATGTCCTGCATTAATGAAACTGCCTGAACTGCTTTAACAATAATTCAGTGCTGGTACAAATTTTCTCCTGAATACTAACTCTAATTTGGCATCAAAGCACTAAAAAAAATAGCATTCATATTGGAAAAGCATTATAAACATTGAGAACCTTTCATCATTAATGTGATAGATATAACAGTTGAATCGCTTAGTTTAATTATTGATGAAATACAAGGAAATGTCCTCTCCAGATCCTGGTGTGCGGAGGGCCTCAGATGTCCATCTCCTGCTGCCACGGCCTGCGGCTGCTCGGATTCAGGTCGACGCAAATTTTTGTATTCGGCCAGTTTGGTGACGAGCTTATCAGAAAAGTCTACGGCAGGAATGCGCTACTATCCACTCATACATGTTATTAAAATCTTCTGAGTATCAGATAAACAGGCGTTGGAGTATTTTTAACATCGAATATGTAAAAGTTTTTCACAATTTAGGTCTATCTTCAACAACCGTCGAAACTAATTTGAGTAAAACCACATGAATTGGCTAGCAATTATGGGTAATTATTATATTTATAATTTATATTTATTTTATAGGGATCGATATTTTTAGTCATTATTATTTCACCTAGAGACTAAACGAAGATTTGGAGGAGCATGGGGTCCCGAGTAAGAGATGGGACCCTAGAAAGAGTGGTCATGGGTAACCACGGAAGAAATTGGTCCAGAGTAAGAGATGGGTCAGGGGCCAATTCTCACAAGAATGACATTTATCGTGTTTTCAAAAACACCAAGAATCTTAATAGAGGTACATGACAAAACTACTAATTTTACAAACCTTATCCTGAAATTCTAAGTGGAGTGATTCTAATCACTGACGATTCTGCTTATCCTTTGAAGTCGCAAAAATCCATAAAGCATGTCCTCTGAATAAATTCTATAAATTGTCTAGCAGGATATGCGAAATAAGCTACAGTTGCAAGGAAGTGTTAATTGCTAATGCATTTTCCAGTTGCAAGGACTTATCCGACAGACGCCTCCCTATCTTCTCACAGACGCCATATCTCGAAACGCCGTATTAAATACGTTTTTCATTTTCGTGATATTAAACGCTTCCATTGCATGGAAATATTCTGTACACTAATTCACACAAATCACAGTTGAAAAAAGTAACCCTTATGAGTTTGGGTCTCCTCGCAGTGAAGAATATATTGACAATCACTTGGCTCCGGAGCCGGGAACATTTGCAGGCTTGGCGAGACAACATATCCCATTGCCTTCCTGATATATGTTTAAATACGCCTGTTATCCGGCAAGCTGCAAAAACTCGTAGTTATGCTGATTAGAATCGCCGTACGAATTCCTGAGCTTAATTTCTGCCCTGGACTGTTGGATTCCATCCATGCGCTCAAATCTATTAGATCGTAAAATTAACAGCCGATGTTTTGATAAAAAAAAAACTCCAAAGCGGGCTTAAAACAGAAACAATGCGGTCTAAAAAATATTGATACAGACTTGAAATTTTGCTCAGGGTAATCATCATACAGCAGGACCATAAATTCGACAATAATAGTTATATCGGTAATCCATCATTCTGCTCATTATTGATCTAACCTGCAGATCATTATTGAACTGGCGCCGGCATCACAAATGGCCGCTGTCGCGCAGCGCGTCCGCGAAATTGTCGATTAGTCCAACTCCCTTGTAAACTTTCTACTCAAAACCTGAACTACAAATACAGATGTGTTGCCTATAGTAATGTGCGGGCATATATGTCATACATAGTGTTGGCTGTGTTGCCTATAGTAATGTGTGGGCATAGATGTCACAGTGTTGCCTGTAGTAGTGTGTGGGTATAGATGTTACACTGCAGTGTTGCCTATAGTAATGTGTGGGCATAGACGTCACAGTGTTGCCTGTAGTAGTGTGTGGGCATAGATGTTACAGTGTTGCCTATAGCAAGGTGTGGGCATAGATGTCATAGTGTTGCCTATAGTAATGTGTGGGCATAGATGTCACAGTGTTGCCTGTAGAAGTGTGTGGGCATAGATGTTACAGTGTTGCCTGTAGTAGTGTGTGGGCATAGATGTTACAGTGTTGCCTATAGCAAGGTGTGGGCATAGATGTCATATTGTTGCCTATAGTAAGGTGTGGGCATAGATGTCTCCATCAACCTGAGGCTCTAAGTAACTTTAACCGAAGTCCCGACTTTATTAAAGTAAGCATACATGCATGCGCATTAGGAGGACGTTTGAGCTTTAATTTACCGCTATTAATTAAATGTTCAAGTAGAAATTGCAATTCAAAAATTATAAAATAATAAATTCTTTGCTAAAGATTTAGAAAAATAAGTTTATTTGCATCATACAAACGCCGATCGACCCTGAAGCCCCTTCTTTTAAGTTCCTTTTTATTTTTTTGGCGGGTAATTTTTTTTATTTTATCGCCTAAAAATCTGTACGTTCTATCATTATAAAAATCGTTTAGTTTTACGTTTTATCCGTACGTTTTATTCTATTATTAACAAAATGAATGAGAAAAAAAGCGCTTCTGGTTGCCCAAAATCAAAAAAACGGATGGGGGCGAAGCCCCCGTTTTTCCGCGCCACTACGCGTTTTGGTATTGACATTGTCATTTTGAATCGGGCTCGCCAAGCTCCCGCGTTTCCAAGTAATCCGCGTTGCTCCGCCGCCATCTTTGTAGACCATTCTTTCGTTCTTGCTCGTTTCAGTCGGTTGGATGTTTTGGTGAATGGTGACAATGGAGAAAGAAAGAGCCAAGCAGAAAGGATTAAGCTATTAATTAATGAATAATTATCATGCACGTGATCAGTGGTGTATGCTGGGTAAACCAACCCCTACTTCTTCCTCATTCAATAAGCGTGCCTATAAGGCATCAACAATATTTTTTAAGCTTTAAACTTCCTCGCATCATTATAACGTAACAGCATAGAAAAAAATTTCGTGGGCACATAAAAATGTTAAATAGTCAGTATGTAGTATAGAATAGTATCGCAAATTAAATTAAAATTGATTATATATATTTCAAGCTTTAAAATTCCTTTTTGTCATGTATAAAGAAATTAATTTCATTACTCGAGTTAAATTTTTGAATGTGAACAGTTAAAAAAAGTTTTTCGGAAGTTATGTTGGTAAACATTATTATTTAAATTTCATGGGTAACTTTCCAAAATTTGACTAATTAGCTTTTATATCCATTTCCAATATTTGTAAGGCGCCTTTCCATTATTGGAGGATGTCAAATGGAGAAAAATCAGCCTGAATCTGATATGAAATTGGAAGGCAAATATCGTCTGATTTTCTTGGTGGTGCAATGGATGAGAAAATTTCAGATTCCAGGTCGTTAGTTTGAGGATATTGGGTGCTCAGGAATCCTTCTCATTCAAAAAATTGCAAGGTTCCCTGAAATTCATGACAAATTTATCTCCTCCATGCATGCCAGCAATACAACAATGAGAAATGAACTGTTAGGAAACGGTCTTTACCACCATCGTTTTTATATGGGGACAAATAGTATAGTTGACTTTGAACACTGTTCCCATTGAGAGTATATATTCCTCACAGACACGCAACACACGTAAGAACAAACTCAACATTTCAAGACTTCACCTCTGCCGCATTGGAGGCTGCCGTGCAATTTTCATGAAGCATTCCTAATATTTCGCCTGACTACGCGTAGGTGCAAGAGAGTCTAACGATCGAACTGGTGCAACTCGCTTGATTTTACGCAAATTTGGTTGAGTGGTTCAAAGCAAAGCGTAATTGCCTGCTGTTATAGCCGGCTCTCTAATGTGGTGTGTGACGAACGGTACTATTTAAAAGCTTGGTTATTCTCTATGAAGTTCATAGCTTCGTGGGAAATAACTTTTTGGCTCCGCGTACAAGCTTATATTAAAGTTATTTACATTTAAGGATAATAATTTTACTCAAAGAAACATCATTCATTGCAAGTATAATACATTGTACTATAGAGCCGAGGTGGATGGCCTGAGATTTGGGTTGTTCATGAATGGCCTTGCGTAATATTATCATTACCACATCTACAAACCTTCGATGTCATGAAATGAGTCACATCGATTTGTTGACTATTTAGTGAACTCGATGGACCTGTCCACCAAATGCATCTAGATATTCTTGAACCAACACAGACTCTTCATCTCGAAAGGACGCTGAACAGTTTCGGCCACGGCCACTTGCCATTTCAAAACGGTAGATCGTGCGGGCAACCAGCAACACAAATTCGCGGAGTCCAGTGATCAGTCATTCTGTTTGCGTATTGAAGGGTATGGATAGAGCAGTGGGTGGAATGCTTTTGGCTTCGAGTGATGACGTTATTGTGACGTGAAATGTCTTAATGGACCAATGGCAAGTCTTCATCAAGGGATTTGAAGAATATTCTGGCGCAATCGAAAGATATTCAACCAATGAATATATTCTCATGTTGTAAGGCAATTATTGATCGGAATAACCCAATTATGTCCCATATTAGGCATACTTTACATATAGGTGCAGTAGTTAATTTTTAGAAATTCTGTTCGCGTATTGAAAGGTATGGATAGAGCAGTGGGTGGAATGCTTTTTACTTCGAGTGATGACGTCATTGTGACGCGAAATGTCTTAATGGACCAATGGCAAGTCTTCATCAAGGGATCTGAAGAATCTTTGACGTAATCTTGCCCTTTGTAGTGAGCCTCATCGAAATAAATTCATGGATGAGCATCACCACGCTGCTGCGCATGCGAGTTTTTGCTGCCTCGACATTTAAACAAAATCGCACGTCTAACCACGACCACAAGTCGGAATATTAACTCACACTTGCAAAATCATCATTTGATCAGTGATGTGTTACATCAATGATGTTACACATCAATGATGTATCATCATCAATGATGTGTATCATAAACATCAATGATGTGTATCAAAACATCAGTGGTGTGTAACATCAACATCGATGATGTTCAAATGTTTGAGCATCATTTCCCTAACAAAATTCGGGGACCGCCTAGGCTTCGGCCGAATTGTCACTACACTCGGCGCAAAGTTATTCTGGGTCAGTTGGCCAACTGATCGCAATCAGCGACTAGTCAGAACCTCCTGGCCGACTTTATGGTCTCCTGAGAGTAGGGCAAGAGTTGGCAGAATCCCCTCAGTCCCCTCACCAGGCTCTGGTAGCTGTCTGATTCGGGGGCCGGAATGTAGACCAAAAAGCGGACATACAGAGAAGCTGATTTACGTTCGGTCCGAGTCCTAGGCGGTCCCTAATTCAGGCTCGCCACCAACTAAAATTTTCGATAGGGTTGAACATTGATGTACAAGTTATTGCTAAAATTAATATGGATTTTTAGGTTGAATGGTTTAGGTTATATATGGTACGTTGGTATACCGCACGTTTGGTGCGTTTATACCGCACGTCTGGTACGTTTGTACCGCACGTCTGGTACGTTTGTACCGTTGGTTTTAGCAAAGGGTAACATATTCGAAACGAATATGTTTCGTTTTAACAAATATTTGAATATCAAATGCTTCGTCGTGACTGAGCGATTGAAATGTCCGCGGCTGTCGGTCAAAGACGCCTCATCAAGCCGCTGTTGCCGATATAGGGCAGCAGCGATGCCCAAACTTTGCCTTGTAAATCAATTCCAGTTTCGTCGCCAGATATTGTGAGATCCCGAAGCTCGTAGGCAGGCATTACTGATGGTTAGGCTTCATTATCCCACTAAGGTAAGTCTTCATTACTACAAGCCTACAAGCGTTATTAACGATGTCGCTGCGATGCTGATTATAACCTGTATGCTATTTAGAGCACGAAATCAAGCTAAACAAACCGGTCGCGCCTTTGAAAAAAATTGCCATATAAGCAAGAACGAACCTGAAAAACATTTTTTGTACGCTATTTCGAAGTGTAGGACTAAAAACGGTATTTCTGATTATAAAATAGGCCTATGCCCCGATTACACAAGGTTTATTTTACTAATTTCTGCCACAGTAACCCAAGACGCTTCGCAGCGCTGGGTGTCAAAAATCTTTATAAGAACATCAGCTCATTGATATTACCTGCAATTGAAGTTGCTTCATATGCATTATTACTGAATACTTTGGCGAGCGAGGAGCTTCCACAGGTAATTGTATCCCAGACTAAACTATTCTCGCCCCTTCTCTCGCCGTCAAAAACACTATATTACGCATATCATTTCAGTACCGTGACTACGAGTACATAATAAAAGGTTGTGAGTTTGTCAATGTATTTAACGCTAACTTACTCTGGAATTAAAAAAAATATCTAGTTATTATTAAAAATAGATATTTAGATATTGGTTGCTCGATGTCTCCTGCCAGCCCACCCAATGTAGAAAATTTTTAGTGTAACAATGCAT